TGATAAGTTTCATTTCATATATTTCTTCGCTCTTTCGTTTCCCTTAGGTTCCGAATGGCTATCATTAACTTACAAAAACGTATACGTTTGTCTAACACCTTTCAGTTTCCAGTCGAGCCGATGGCTATCAACTTCCAATCTTTCCCGGCGACCCATCCTTTCCGGTGGTCACGTCCTCCGATCCGTATCCGATCCATGTATTGGTCGCAATAATGGACCGATCCATGTATTGGTCTCTCTCTACTATAATTCTTTCTTAGTCCTTAGGATTTGGTAACATAGGAGTGAATTACCTTTTTTATTTTTTAGTATATTGATCGGGGGATTTAATCTCAAGAAGATGGATTAAATTGGTGGATATTAGATATCTATTTGGTTATCACCACCAAGAGATGTATTGTTTGCTCTTTTTTTTGTTTTGACATCTGAAAATATATATCAGATTTTCCAAGAGAAAATCAAGTTAGTCATTTATGATTTGAGTGTATTAGGCTTTAGATCTGTTATCTTCCCTTGGTGGTGAGACCTATATTACATTCCTCCTTAATCTTTACTACTTTATCAAAATATGAAACATATGAAATTTTTTTGACTAAACAATTAAATTGGATTTTTATTGAATAAATCCCAGTATCACTATTTTGAAACATTTGGTAAGATAGTGAGGATATATTTTCATGTAGTTGACTTTTGTTTAAAACAATTTCAGGAGAAGATAGATTGGATTTGTTGAACATTGGAGATGTATTGACTTCTCATTCTCGCTATTAGCACTGATGATGGCCATATTAAGGTATCTTCACTTTACTTCTTTTATGTTTTTTTTGCTCATATTCGATTACAATTCTACCTTTTTTGTTGACTTCTGAAAATATTTATTGGATATTAACATGGCATACTACAATGGAAAGTCAAATCATAATTGTCCTTAGGTTTGTGGGCGTTAGATCATTGTTGATAGAAATTTAGTTGTCTACTTTATTTTTTTCGTTATTGTTTTTATGTATCGAAGGTGAGAAATACAAAATACACATCTTGCTTTTTTTCTAATCGGTAAAATTATTGGTGAATTGCAAGAATAACAAATAAAAAAAATAATTATTCACAAATTAACTAAAACTAGCCTATATAGCTTAATCAAATACATTAAAATTAGGAAAATGGTTAGNTTTTGAATTATATTTTTTTTTCGTGTTATTAAGCCTAATTTCCCTAAAATTAGTTCCATCACACAAATATATTTTTTCTTCCCTTTCCATAGTTGTATTTAATATCTTTTTCTTTTTGGTGGAAAAATAAGCCTAATTAACTATATCAACATCCATTTTCATAGATAAGCTTTTCATTGACCATGAAACATTCTCATGAACATTAATTTGGTATGTTAACTTTTATTATGTTTTCTTATTGTAATTGAATCATCGGGAATCGAATGTGTAAATGTTTTGGTAGGTGAGATCCGGAATCTAGATATCCGACCATATATAATAATGCTTTAACGAATATATTAAGATTTGTTCAAGAAATTAACTAGTAAGAAACTTTTTTTAGGCTGCACGAATAACACAACTTTCGTTTCCTTTAATAAACTTAGTAAATATTTGAAAATAATTTTATTCAAAATCAGTACAATATTTGAAAGTGTTAATATGTGTATTCTTGTAGTATAATGATCAAAACCAGGGTGTAATTATATTATTCCTATAGAAAACCGTATGTGTAAAAAGGGGCTAAACTGATTTGGAAATTGTTTTTTTTGGGGTTTTAAAGATCATAGCCCAGAGATAAAAGGGTATGTATGTGTAATTATATTATTCCCATAGAAAACCGTATAAAAGGAACCCTAAATCCTCAAAGTACACAGACTCTCTCTAATTGTCGCTGGTGACAACCCTAGATTGAACAATTGCGGCGGCGCTCTAAGTAAGTTACTGATCTCTTGCTTTTATTCATTTCGTTTAGATGGACTTCACTGTATTTTGGTATGGATTCATGACTTTTTATTCTCTGATTAGATACCAAAAATCAGAACAAGAGGTTGAGGAGAAAGATGATGAGTTGTCCATTTTGTTTTGAGAAAGTTCCTTTGTCTTTTACAAAAGATTGGCTAATGATTAAGTCCTACAAATATAACACATCAATATCAATATAACACATCAATATGACATCAATTTTATAAATTGATACAATATTTACCTGCTCCATCAGTTGATTCACAGTTTTTATGTGAAAAGTAGTTTCTAACATTTTAATAACACCTTCGCTTAGTTTCGTTACTACATTCCTTACTGTAGAGAAAAAATCATATTAGAGTATTTATTCATTTTTCATATTAGAAAACATAGTTATTTACAAAAGGCTTACAGTGGCCAATAGGTATAGGTATTTGATGTATATCTTCTTCTTGTTGCTTGGTTATAACACATAGATGACAGAATAATATAAGAATACGAATGGACAAGAGGAATAAATTAGACAACAATTACAGAGAAATTACCTTCAGGAACTGTAGTAATTATTTCATCCAAAGGCTCTTTACCAGCTTGCTTGTGTTTCTTATCATTCAAGGTCTTCAACTGCCTTTTGCTTACTAAGG